TCTCCGCGGGTGTGTCCGCGGGTCATATGTACAGAGAGGGGACCCCTTTATTTTTGGCCCCCGAGGCCCCCCCCCCCCCCCCCCCCCCGTACAGCCGTTCTCCACTCTTGTGTCCTGTGGTGTAGTGGTTAGGCGCTTCACTGTCGCGCGCAGGAGGCTTGAATTCGATGTCATAGTGGGAGGGTGCGGTGTCGCGGAGCGGTTAGTGCGCTCGTCTCCGAAGCGGAAAATCTGGGTTCGAGCCTCGGTTCGAACACGGATTTTTTTTTCGCCTACTCCTGTCCACTCAGCGGTAATGAGTACCTGACTTCGAGTTGGAGAAGTTAAGGCGGCGCGGAAAGGTACTGGCCACCATACCACACTAACAAGGTAATCCCCAATGTCCGGATCGGATGCGGGAACAACTTTACTTTAGTGGAAGAAAGTTTTATCGAGTATCTCGGTCTTTCTGCCAGGATGTTGCTTGCCTCTTAGCCCATCTTGGCCCTGACAGATAAGGTCGGAAACCCACATCCTACATGCTTTAACGCTATCCGTACGCCCTGGGGTCATTTTGTACCCCCGGGGTTGTATTCTTCACATTTTAGAATACTTCTAGTACGAAGATCTCTTTGAATCTTTCAGTATTTCTCGAAAAATCATTTTGACAGATTGCTATGCAAAGCGTACGGATGAGATTAACGAGTATTTTCCTCTTTGGAAAGTGGTGGAACAGAATTCCCCACGTCGTATGGATACGATAGTAAAACACGACGTACGGATAGGGTTAAGTGGTGGCACAGAGTTCCCCACGTCGTATGGATACGATAGTACAACACGACAAACGGATAGGGTTAAGTGGTGGCACAGAGTTCCCCACGTCGTATGGATACGATAGTACAACACGACAAACGGATAGGGTTACATTGTGTCGATGGGGCCGTAAAGACACCTACATTAAAAAACCCAGAAAGATAACAAACATTTGGTCGTTTTTAAGGACAAGCGGGCAAACCCAGATTTTGACGGTTTCCAGAAATCTTGACCAACACCAAAAGTCGACATTGCCCTACGTATAGAAGAAGTTTCGTTTCATTGATGTGTAGATTTGTTTAGTTATAAAGAAATCTGTCATTGTCTTTTAAAGAAACCGAACAAGGGGCAAAAACTTTACCTTCCATTTTCTGAAAACAGCATTTTTGGGTTTGGCCGCTTGTGCTTAAAAGTGACCATTTAAACTCTTATGTCCTAAATGCCGAGCCGTGCCAGCAGTATGATTTTATGTTTAATTATTGTTTTGTCCTTCGATTAGCTCCTACCAGAGTTATAGAGCAAACATCGAGGTCTCGCGTTCCCTCATGTTGATACAGACAAATTAGAAGTCAGAGAGAGAGAGAGAGAGAGAGAGAGAGAGAGAGAGAGAGAGAGAGAGAGAGAGAGAGAGAGAGAGACAGAGAGAGAGAGAGAGAGAGAGAAAGAGTGAGAGAGAGAAAGAGATAGACAGAGAAAGATATAGATAGATAGATAGATAGATAGATAGATAGATAGATAGATAGATAGATAGATATATAGATATATAGATAGATATATAGATAGATAGATAGATAGATAGACAGAGAGAGAGAGAGTGAGAGAGAGGTATATATATATAGATAGATAGATAGATATACAGAGAGAGAGACAGAGAGAGAGAGAAAGAGAGACACAGAGAGAGAGATAGATCGATAGATAGATAGAGAGAGTTGTTTAGTTATAAAGAAAACTGTCCTCGTCTTTTAAAGATACCGAACAAGGGGCAAAAACTTTACCTTTCATTTTCTGAAAACAGCATTTTTGGGATTGCCAAATTGTGCTTAAAAGTGACCATTTAAACTCTTATGTAAACTCTTATGTCCTAAAT